TACTTTACTTTACTTTACTTTACTTCACTTGCCATTACATTGCATTACATTACATGACAAAAAAGAACATGACACTACATGCATACGTACATGCATACCATTGCAGTACATTGCATTGCACAGCATTACATTACATTACATTGCATTGCACTACATTACATTGGACTACATCACATAACATTGCATTGCATTACATTTCACTACATTACAGTAAATTATATATATAATATACATATGAGCAGCTCAGTCTCTAAGGCTCAACCTCAACACCCCCCTCTGTTCACCCAACCCGCCACAGAAACTCCGCTGATCGTCTCTTGCCTGGGATCAACACCACCACCGACAAGGAGGCCATCGCTTCCAGCCCCTTTCCCTGCTGGAGGTCATAGAGATATGCGAAAGCCACCATCACCACGATGAGCCCCAGAGCAGCAAAGCACAACTCGAAGGTCCGCGAGGTCTTCCGGAAGAGCCCGCTGATGGTGCGCCAGTCGTTCTTCGATTCGAGACATGAGGCACCTTGCGACAAGGAGGCACTCCAGGCGTTCACGATGAGAAGCATGGCGTGACTGGTGCGCACTTGCCAAAAGCAAGCCATCACCAGCACCCCGGTGGCAACCATGTATCTCAACCCAAAAGCCACTGCCTGAATATTGATCCATTCTTGATCTTCCCAGGCATGCCACGCAGCAATGCCAAAGCGAGCGAACAAGAGGGCCAACCAGAGCAAGATGGCCATCAACGCGTCCTTCGTGGGCCCGTGTGGCACACGAAATGGATTGCCAATCAAGTAAAATAAGAGTCATGTAAGTGGCAGAGCCACTATTGATGGTTATCCACACAAATCACTACAGCACCGTGGACCAACGGACAAGGTCAGCCACTCTTGGGACAAACCAGCTGCAAGAAGTCGGCTTACAACCTGGTACTCTCCAACACAATTTCCGCTCGGCGCAGGACAGGACAGTGTCTTTGACGAAATCTGCACGTTTCCGCTTGGGCATCAGAGCAACATCAACCTCCACCCCTCAAGACCCTGACCACCTACAAGCATACGGCCTGGATCACTGCCCCAACAAAAGTCTTCGGCTCTGTTTTGCACACACGAGGCACGAAGAAATCCGTAGACTCCGTAAACCCATCAAAAACATGTTTTTACAAACAGTGACCAGGAGCAGGTCTAAACATAACTGTCTCTTCATGGCTATGGTCAATAACGAACTGTCCGACACTGTCCACTGTTTCTTCGTTTTGCCCCCACAAGTCCAAGTGTCGGAACACGTCCAGATCTTCCATGCTGTGTCCAAGAAGTTCTGCTCGCAATAGGAAGAGAGCTCCTCTGCACTTTGCGCCACAAGCCTGGCTTTGTCCTGCACGCAAACCCGCGGCAACCAAAAGAACAAGAAACGACCGGTCGGACCCTGAAGGCCAAAAACCCCCGACATCCGAAAAAAGCTCCGAAACTCACGGATTGTTCACCACGGTGTCATGCCACGATGTCATGATCCGGGCACATGCGGCACACGCCATGCCCGGTTCTTCAGGAATGCTAAGATGAGCTGGGATGTCTGTCCTGGTAGTTCCAAAACCCGCCCAAGCTCAGAAGCACGAGGCTGGCACCGACATGAAGGAAGAGGTCTGTGGCCAAAGGACTAAGGGGATAACGACAATCTTCATCATTGGGAGCTTCATAGCATCTTTGCAGAAAATAGCCAAAGGGTATTGTACCAGTCAGCAGGTATAGAATCGCGAGCAAATGATAGATGCGCGACATCCAGTCCAGACATCGGTGCATACAGGACTTGTCAGAACTCCTGCCAATGCTCTGCCAGATGGGCATCAATCCCAATGCCTTCGACAAGTAATGCGAAACAAAGGTGTTGAGCGGACTTAGCTTCAACCAGACTGAAGAGTCTGAAGACTGGACGACCTCTCTGAGAACCTCTCTTGACATCTTCTCCTCATCTTCGTTGCTCATCTCTTCCACGGCCTCTGCCACCGTCAAGCGGTTTCGACCTTCCTGAGCTGTGAGCTCCAACTCCCGCACCTTGAAGACTTCAGTGAGATTGGCCTGGGAAGAAGGAATCAGACCGGTGTTGGCTGGGAAAAGACCGGTTAAAACGAAGTGACATACATATCTGTACACGCTTGTGCTGTATAGGGTGGGTCATTTTCGATGGTTTCTAGGTTGTTCGGAGGGAGTTTCTAACACTGCCAGCTTCGCCTTGGACACAATCTGCTGCAACTCCACACTGGTGCGCCCAGATCGGTTTACTGCACTGGAAACCGACATCGTTTTGCGCCACACGCCACCATCGCAGATTGGATCCGGATGAGAACTCGCTTTCTTCACGTGCACTGCGCGGCACTCGCCCGAATCCCTCTGCATCTCCACCGAAGCTGAGCGGCGACGCGGCGGAGCAGCCGTCGTCTCGGACGGTGCGGGCAGCATCGTCGGGCAGTCCGAGGCGTTGCCGGCCGATGCCGCACTTGCGGACGGCAGCGGCAGCGTCTTCAGCTCCGGCTTCCCCAGCTTCTCGGGGCACGGAAGCACTCGCACTGAAGCATCCTGCGAATGAAGGCGGGTGCCCAAAAACCAACAGAACTAGAACTCCCAAGCACAAGACTCAAGACCAACCATCAACATGGTCGCTTACGAGCGTCTGATTTGATTTTAGTATACAATTGGATTGAGGAGCCCCAGTCACAAAGCTTGTGGTCACCAGCCAGCCAGCCAACTCCAAACAAACCAGCCAACCCAGCCCCTCAACTCCTCAGCAAACCGGATTCAAACCCACCACGGCTTTAAAAGTGTCTTCTGGCACCTCACCCATCAACCGCCATGAACACCCTCAACCGCCTCCTCTCCTCCAAGTCTTCCCTCAGGCGTTCTTTCGGGAGCGTCTTGGCCTTCTTGTACAGGCTGGCGGTCGAGGGGCCGAAGGAGCCCGGGACCCCACCGGTGCCAGGCATGGAAAAGGGCACCAGGCTGGAGATGTCCATTTGCAAGGCTTTCATTGCAACACTCTCGTTGGCCTGGAGAGGCAAAGGAAGCAGCATCTGTCTCCACAGCTCGCTGTGCGGTGTGCTTCAGTCATGCTTTCTTCTTACGTGTACTCCTTTTGGGGTGCAAGGGAGCACGCTTTTCAGCGGGGGAAGGGGAAATGATGTTAGAAAACAAAAGTGTCTCACATCCAGCTGGCCTGTCATGGCCCTTCTCAGTACTCAAAGAGCGCTCAATATATATATACATATATATATATTGTGCATCTTAGAGCCACAAAGAGAGAGGAGTAACCAGGACAAAGGTGAGTGTCTGCAACTGTTTTGGTGTACGTAGTTGCCATGTATACACCCCAGAGGAAAATTGTATTCCATGAGGACGTTGTCCACTTCCATGATTATTGGAGGGAGGGTAGTCTGATTGGAAAGACTTTTTGAGAGAGAAACACGCAAATGTCCATGATCTGCACAACCTCTTATCACCTGCTCCCATTTTGGACGATGCCTTTCCAAGCCAAACTCCACATCTGTTTCTTGGGTAATGACCTGCGTCCAGTCCATGTTCAATGGCACATGTTTCAGAAACGGACACCCAGGAAGCTCCCAAGGAGCCGTGCCAGCCATCAAACAGCAAACAGTCAAGAAACACCTCACCCACGACGCTCTGAATCCCACAAAAGAACCAGGGGTCAGTTACACCAAAAGCTTGCCACTCAACAAGCGTCAGACCCCCCTCTCCGACTCTCCCCAATTCCGTTGAACAAATCCCAAGTCCGTGAGTTTCCAAGCGGTGAGAGCACCGATCGAAGGCATTTTTGTCCAAGAAAAAGAGCGTGTCAGTTCAAGGGTTATGAGCCCAAACGACCGCTCAGGGTAGGTCCGGTTTTGGGCGGGCGATGGACCGCGCTCGGTCGTTGCCACCGGTGGCCCTCAATCCATGGTGGAGCGACAAGGTGAAGCTGGAAGCTATCCTGAGGTCAAAAAGGCCAGAGGACTTGCCGGCGCCGGCAGACTGCGACTTGGAAGATGAAGTGGAGGCGGTGCAGGGTGGCAGCACAGCCTGCTCGGGAAAGGGACGTGGTGCGACGTCTCTGGGTGGATCGACTTTTCACCACACCCCCGAGCTCCCGCAGCGAAATCGACGGTCGCGCGCATGGCCGGGGCAAGCAAACTGATGGGGTCATGCCTCCAAGCGAGAGTTCCTCTGGTCCCTCAAGTCATGGTCGCGCTTCCACGGGTCCGCTGCCGCCGAAGCATCGACCCCCTCATGAACCTGATCGCGAGAAGGAAGGCCAGGACAGTGTGAGCCTTTACAAAGCCTTGGAGGCGGAAATGGTGAATTTTCTCAGGGAGCAAAACTCCCAGCTTTGGGAAGAACTGGAGCGTCTGAAGAAGCAACAGTCGAAGCCGGGTAGCGCTCCAACATCCACCCCTTCCTCTTGGGTTCAGATAGATGGTTTGGGGGGAGGACAACCCGCTGAAGAAGCTTCTTTGGGGTCCACAACCAGTGTTGGTGATGGTGGGGGGCCAGTTCGGCCGATGGCAAAGAAGGGAGAGCCGCCGCGCACGCCTCGTGGGTGAAGTCCTACGAATAGAAGGCCAGCGGCTGGCGGGCATCGTTTCACTCCGAATCGAACACAGGTACCACCAGGCTCACCTCCTGATCGAGCCGCCTTGCCAGAGATTCCAGCACCTCCCTTTCCACCTTCAAGCAACTCGGCTGATCTTAGTAGCTTTTGGATCGCCGTGGACGGCATGGCGATTGGTTGCCCATGGACCAGCGTGAGGGGAAAGCTTTTGTTCCACAGGATCGCACCTCTCAGCTGGAACGTGAAGTTGAAGAATTGAAGAACTCCTTGGCCTACATGAAAGAGAATGTCCCTGGCATCTCCACCTCATGCTCCCTCCAGCTCCGAGTTGTTTGCCTGGAGGTAGTGTGGGAATGCATGGACATGATCTTCGGGGTATGGTTCATGGCCATGGTGGGTCTCCAACACCCCAAGCATGTGATCGTGTATGCCCTCCTGATCGTGGCACAGGTCTTCATGGTGATGTATGGCGGCCAGTGCATGTTGATGCTATGGGCATGTCAAAGCCCGGTGCAGGAGGCCCTGGTTTGGGGTCTGAGTCTGAGCCTCGTGAAGATGAGGTTTATGGTCGACGGCGGCCTGATGGTGGATCTTCAATGGCAGCGCCGCTTCCTTGGCATGATGGCAGTGGCAGCAAGGCTGACCTTCCGACGCTGGCGGCGGATGCTTCGCCAATAGACTGTTGGCTGTCTGCGGCCCAGTGCTTCGTGATCTGTCGCAAGTGTCAGCCAGGTGGTGGAACCTGACTTTGCGTGAGGCTCAATGCTACTACAACCGCTGCAAGACCGCCTCGCCTTTGGAAAGAGTCCAGTTGGGCCCAAGGTCGATCAGCAGCAAGCGCTGATCACTGCCCGTGAGCTCACGTCCACGGCTTTGTTGTTCAGGCTCCTGGTCCGCTATCAACCCGGTGGAGCAGGTGAGAAATCCATCCTCCTGGCCAAGCTCACGGCTTTGGATAAAGCAGCTGGACTTCCTGAACTGGCTGCAACCTTGCGCTCCTGGCGGAGGCATTACGCCAGAGCTGAAGAGATTGGCGCCGTGCTTCCTGATGGCACTTTGCTTCTCAAGGCACTGGAGCCTGCGGTCACTCAGATCGCAGCTTTGGATGCGCAAGCGGCTTTCCGACTGGCACAGAGCAGGTTAGAGTTGGGAGTGGATCAACAGCCGCACCATGCAGGGGTCTGGCGATTGTTTGCTGGCAGAGGTGGAGACTTTGACTCTGTTGAGCACTACGCCTACAACGTCCTCTACACCGGTGAAGGTGAAACAGTTGGAAGCTCCGGTGAAACAACAAGGGGCTACATCTGCAGGGGACAAAGGCAAGGGCGCCTCCACAGCAGCTCTCCCGTGTCGGTACTTCAGATCAGACGCTGGCTGCAAGGCTGGCAAGAACTGCAAATGGTCACATGCCTGGGACGGCATTGAAGATAAAGCTCAACGGTGCTGGATCTGCAGGGGAAAAGACCATCGCAAGTCCGACTGCAAGTTGAAATCGCAAACAACAGGGAAGCCTTCTCCAGCCAAAGATGGAAAGGGCGCTGGTGAGCCAGGCGCTGGCTCACCAGAGGAGGAAAGATGCAGTCCTCAGGCTCCAAGTCAAGTGGGGGTCAACAAGCTGCACCGAATCCCGTCAAGTTGCAAGAAATGGAAGTTCCGGGCCCTGAGACCGCCTATGCAACGGGAGCTGGTGACAACCAATCGGGGGAGACTATGACAAAAGGAGGTGAAACAGGTGCGACAACAAGTGAAGCATTGCTCCATGAGGTGACACAACTCCTTAAGTCCCTTCGTGCTCCTCAATTGCGTGCGATAAGGGTGAGTCAGCTTGACTATGACACCAGCGGGTCTACAGTGCTTTTGGACTCCGGAGCAACTCATGCGCTTCGCCCAGCAGCTGATATGGTTGAGTGGGAGGCAGCACAACCCACACAAGTGACCTTGGCTGAAGGAGTGTCAAATAAGCTCCGGTTGAAGCAGGATTCAAAGGTGCTTCTTTCTGCCCCACATGACGCAGAGCTGGACAAATCATGGATTGTTCCGCTAATGGCATTTGTGGAGTTGGGCTATCGTTTTGAGTGGAAGGGGTCCTACTGTCTGTTGAAGGATGACCATGGCAACAAGTTGGATGTGACAATACAACACGGGTGCCCCATGGTCAACAAGGAGCTGGGACGACAAATGATCGGCTGGAACGACGTCAGGCGCATCTGGCTCAGAAAGCTTTGCTCATCAAGACATTGTTTGCGCAGCCTTCAATGGTTCCTCTGGCTCCGCCTTTGTCAACAGAAATGGCCCTCACACTCAAGCTGAAGCATCTGTTTCAGGATGTGCCGGATGAGCTTTTGATGAAAGTGATTCCTGATCTCTCGGATCTACAACAGGTAGCGGACGGGTCATTTGCTGCTTGGAACCGGAGAAAAAGAAACGCCTGGCCCAGGCCAAGCAGATCGTGCTCCATCTGTTTTCTGGTCCCGACGCCAGATATTGGGAAAAAGCTCTTCGAGTCGAGGTGCTTTGTGTTGATTTACAAGCAGCAGTTGCAGCCGACTTGCACGATGACAACGTCTATCGGTTTTTGCTGGCTCTGGCTGCAACAGGCCGTGTCAAGGCCATTGTGGGCGGACCGCCCTGCCGCACGGTGTCAGCTTTGCGGTACCAGGATGGTGACGGCCCAGGTGTGTTGCGGTCAGAAGAGCATCCTTACGGCCTTCCATCCCTTTCAATGGCAGAGCAAGCTTTGGTTTGGGGGAACAGCATCCTCTTGTTCAGAATGTTGGCATTGTATGTGCTGTGCGAGGATGTTCGCCATGAACATGAGCCGCAAAAAGCCCTGGCCCTTGAGCAGCCCGAAGATCCTGCTCGCTACAGATCTCGTGAAGAGGTTGAGAAGAAAAATTCATGTCAATCTGGAGGGCGAAAGCTTGGCAGGTCTTCGCCGACACCTACCAGATCCGGATGCTCCACTTTGATCAAGGCCCGATGGGTCATGTGAGAAAGAAACCAACCACTCTGGCCGTTAAGCTCAGGGATATCCAAGCCCTGAATGAAATTCGCGGTCCTCCGTGTGGCGATGAGGAAGCTGCTCAAGATCGACGTGGCATGCCCTTGCAAGACAGGTGTGATCAATCAAAACAATGGGCAGCCTGGGCACCTGGCCTCAAAGTGGCTTTGGTGCTTGCGCTTCAAGATCACCTCAATCGTGGTATCGCACCGTCGTTGGAAACAGCTCTCCGTCCTTTGGGTCAAGTTGCTTTGGAAAGCTGGAGACAACACTACATCCAGGACCACATGCCGGCCCGAAGGGATTGCAAAGAGTGTGTCAAAGCTGCTGCAAGGAGCAAACCACACAGGCGGATCACGCACCCAGAAGCATATACGCTGAGTGTGGATCTATCGGGGAGGATGGTGATTGGTCAAGATCAAAGCCGTCACGACTGCAAGTACATGATGGTGGCAGTTTACACCTTTCCCATTGATGGTGCTGGTCGGTCCCTGGTGGAGAAAGTTGAAGCGGTCGCTGATGGGGGTTTACCTTCAAGAGTACACCCCACGGAACCAGGTGGTGATGATCCGGGCGGCGGATGAGATTCCGGGGGAGGACCAAGTCAATGCTCCATCGCAGGCGATGGCTGATGCCGCTGTTCGTGCTGGTCACACTGCCTTCGATGCTTGGCAAAAGGAAGTGGCATCTGTTCAAGATGTGGCTGTCAGAAACTTGACCTTCGTAGAGGTCCTTCCGAGCAGAGGTGTTCAGCACATCCTTCGGGCTCTCGCCAGGATCTACGCTCGGCTTCGGAGTCTGGGCTTGCCTTTGTACAGGCTACATTGTGACCGCGCCAGAGAGCTGATTTCGGCACCAGTTCGTCGGTGGACATTGGACAGAAGCATAGTAACAACTTTGACTTCAGGTGATTCCTACAAGTCCAATGGCCGTGTTGAAGGAGATTTGGGAGTGATCAAAAAAACATGTTCGAACCATCATGACCTCCACGGGTTTGGACCTCAACCAGTGGCCATTGGCGGCCATCCACATCG